TAAGATGGGGAGAAAGTCAAAATCTTGTGGCCAAGCAACCAGAGTACGGACGGTGACACTTACCTACTAACCTACCTTTCTCACCAATATAATCACCGCCATTGTAATACAAACAAGCTAAGCTCAACCAAAGCAGCACATTAACCATCCCTAAATCAGATGGTGTGTACTTGTCACCCGCTTACCCTTTGCTTGCCTTTCTCTTGGGATGAAGATCAGGCCCTCCACTTACATTTGTTTGCATTTATTTAGCATGAAAATATATTTGTCGGAAACGCCTCCGTGTCATGATACTTCCATAGCACGTTTCCTAACTATATCTGTAATTTATTAAAAACTTCCAAATTTTTGTATTTGTTTTAGAAATTCGGATACACGTATTAACTTTTTTTTATAAAAAAATACCCAAAAATTGAATAACAAAAGTTCTAAAAAATTATTACAAATTTTAGTTTTTTATTAGAGTATTGTTTTGTATCTTCATTTAAATCTTTTATCCAAGAACTTTAATTAGTAGCACTTTTAATTGCAAAATTGTGTTATGACTTGTTTCTCATTTCAAATTAGTGACTTGTTGATTATATTTATATATAGAGATAAAATGTGAATTTATATATAGTGTATACGAGATAAAATGTGAATTTATTTCCAACTATCTTGATAATGTGAGTTGCTTCAATGTCGTGAATGAGCGGAGGATAATGTATGTATATATTTATCCCATAATTTTTAATATTTATAATTACACCCTATATTTTTAATATTTATAAATACACCCGCATAACTACTTATATTTTTAATACACCCTCACATGTGTATCAATTTTTTAATTTTATTGTATCTATGTACCCGTTTCCGCGTTCCTGTATCGGTGTTATGTAGCTCTCTTGCTTTCTTATAAGTTTACCAAACTTGACCGGCAAGTGTAATAATGAACTAAAAATTACTCCCACCGTCACATAAAATTATTCCCAGTTGACTTGGATTGGGGTTTAGGAAAATGGAAATAAAGTAGAAATGTGTGGTTTTAGTCGAGTAAGAAAAATATTAATGAATCTAGTCACATAGAATTTTTTGTAAAGAGAAATTAGAAGATCTTTTGGGGACATGCATCACAAAAAGATAAGTGAGAATAAATTTAGGGGGATAGAAGGAATATATGATTAGAGTTTGTGTAGAGGAAAGTGATATGATGGGGATCACAAATTAAGTGATTAAAATGAAAAATGACAATATTTCTTTTATAAAAAGGAAATAATTACAATATTAAGTGATTAAGTAATTTATTGTGCACTTGAATAAAAAATGTGAATAGTGTTGTGGTAGTGTACACTTCATCAAAGTAGAAAAATGTAAATTGTAAAAGCAAGACAAACAATATGAAAGGGTCCTAAAAAGAAAGCGAGACCATCAATGAAACGCGAAATATGATCATGTCGTATGTGTAGCTATTGGTTTAAGGAAGGAAAATGCTTAGTGTACATGACTTGTACACAAATTGTACACAAAACCTCCCTAGTTGTCTGTGTACACAGACAAGTCGTTTAAAAGAGGCAGAATTTCATGTCAAATTGTCTGTGTACACAGGCAGTGTACACATTTTGTACACCAAGAATGGTCCTTCGTTTAAGGTAAGACTGTGTTTTTTAGTACACCCTGCTGCTGGCCAAGCTGTAGCGGATTGAATTCCACTAAAATTATTAGCGTACCTCTTATAATTGGAACTCCTTATTTTGCTATATATGTATAAATAAAAAAGTATACACACTTCACAGTACATATGTTAATCTATACCCTAGAAAAAACTCCAAAATTTGAGTTGATTGATTTAAGAAGAAAAACTAAAATAAAAGAAGAGGAGAAGCCTGGTGGAATTGAATTGAAACAGTTTTTAATTCCCAATTGCGGGCGAGGGAACGGAGCGGAAACTGCGGCGGAGATGGATGCTGCTACGGGAGGGCCGCACCTGCCCTGCTTTCGCAAAGACGACATCCCTGAACACTGGCAGTTTGGAGGCGGCGGTTTCATTATGAAGCGCTGCCGCCTCCGGCAGCTTTCTGCTTTCTGTTGAGGAGATGAAGAAATTGAGCAGCACCAAGGAAGTGATTACGATGACGACAGAGAATCTGCTGCTGCTGCAACCCACCATCTTCGCGTGGAAGAAGCTAATCAATCAATCAATCAATTAGCTAGCTAGAAATTAAACATCTGCCTGATTATTGCTGCGCTTTTTCGCCGGCCGAGATCTACCTATAATCTATCACAGGAGCTTTTATTTGTGGTAATTAAGCAGATCCTGGAAAAGAGTGGATGCCGAATGTAAGATCGGAGGTTTAATTACGACGGATCGGAAGGTTTAGTATATATATACGCGACCAGTGAATGATGGATGGATACGGGGATCAGAATACGGAATATTAAATTTAGGGCCATTAATTTTTTCAGATCTCGTTTCTTCCCTGTCTTATTTTAATTTAATGACATCCTAATTACTCCCTATGATTTATGTCACTCTCTCCCACTTCACCATGTTACAGCATTTCCTAAATGACATCACACAAATATAGTGACATGCTATTATTTTTATTTAATATAGGGAAATTATTGCTTACGTTTTACACTACGATCATACGGAGTATAATAAATATAAATAAATGTAATAAAACAAAGATGAGATGAGAGCAATGATGATACCAATGGCGGACCCACTAAGGGTGCCATGGGTCCCGGGACCCCGTGGTCTTTGAAAAATTTACCTATATATATTATATATATTTTACAAAATTTACCTGTATATATTTATGTATATATAAAAGATGTGCGACTTAATAACCAAGTGGACGCAACGGAGTAATGGTAGCATGCATGTGTTTAAAGCCCTGCTATTCGTGAGGTGCAAGGTTCAATTCCCCACGTGGATAATTTTTCTTTTTGGTGCTTCTTTAAAACTTGTTATTTTAAAACTCCAAATGATGGTTTTCTGGTCCATTTTTTAAACCTCTTCCAACGATCCTTTACCACAACAAATTTATTGCCATCCACTTATCTCCCCTCAGATCTCATCCACTTCTTATTAATTCATTTTTTTGAATTAATTATAAAATTTCTTTGAATAGTAAGATTAAATTAACAAATTTATGTATTTATGAATGTTTTTTTTTTGGAAATTTTACGATTAAGGATGAAAAGGTATTTCGGTAGTGTACCAAAATTTTAACAAATTCGAAGTACGGAGAATAGTTAAGATATTCATTCAAATGATTCGTCTTTATTAAATAAAGAATATCTAGTACTTGATGAAAGTGAAATTAATGTGGTGTATAATCTACATGAACAACATATTGATTTCATCCTAATGTTCAAGAGAGGGTACGCAGTAGTTACTATTAAAAAATGACCGTTTCAACTTTGGGATCATGATTTCCCTATTAAAGTAATTGACGGCAACAAACGTAGATTTGCTTCAAGTTGGTTTGATTTGCATAAATGGTTGGAATACAGTATTGTCAAAGATGCGGCATTTTGTTTACCGTGTTATTTGTTTAGTAATGACCGAATGAGTGGAAAGTTAGTGGTAATCATTTTTTGGGAATATGATTTTCAATATGGAATAAAAAAAATAGGTTTTATGTACACGTTGGTGGACCTATATATTATATAATATTTCCAACAAATGAAACCTATGAGGTACTTTTGTAGAATTGTAAAATTAAATGACTTTTATATGTAATTTTTTGCTTTATATCATCTTATTTCATCACGTTAGGGACTCCGTGATTATGAGTTTCTGGGTCCGCCACTGGATGATACTATGTTGAACACAAGAAACTTTACGGAAGATGAAAAACGGCGTATTCAATTGCCTATACTCGTGTTCGGGCCGGGCTCGGGCCGGGCTTTTCATAAGTTTTCTGCCCATCGTGTGTGGGCGGGCCCGGCCCGGCCCGCAAAAACGGGCCTAACCCCATGTCCATACCCGCCCGTAAGAGCGGGCCAGGTAGTCCACCGGACCGCCGGGCCCGGGAAAATTTTAAATTTTTCAAAATTATATAATTTATTTAATACTTTATAAATAATATTACAACATTTAAAAAATTGCTAATACGCTTATACTCCCTCCGTTCTTTAATAAAAGTCCTTCTTTCCTTTTTGAGACGTTTTTTTTATCTATCCTACTTTCCATTTAAGGAAACTTTTTACTCTAAATATACGTTTATACCCCCACTTTTATTACCATTACCCCTTTCTCTTTCCTACTTTTTCATTTATCCACTACTCATTACACCTTTTACACTACCCCTACTATTTTCCTCTTAAAACCCGTGCCAAAGCCTAAGAGGACTTATATTAAAGAACGGAGGGAGTAATGTATATAGGCCTTTCATCACATTCACAAAAAATATTTACACAAAAATAATAATGAGAAACTATATCCAAAATTTAAAATTCATGCACAAAGTATTATCTTTAAGTACAAAAATAGACATTATATTGGTTGGACTGTTTGTTAAGAACTAAAAACTTAAATTTAAACATAATAAACTATAAATATGTATACAGATAAATTAGTAAATATAAAAATATACATGTGTACATGTAAATAAATACATAAATTAGTATATATAAAAATATATATGTATATATAATAAATGTAGCGGGCCGGGCTTATCGGCCCGAACGGGCCTACACCCTAACCCAAGTCTGCCCATATGTTGTTGCGGCCCGGGCCCGGGCCGGGCCGGTGGGTAAATATATATGCCCAAGCCCGCTAATTTGTGCGGGCGGGCTGGGCGGGCCGGGCGGGCCGGCCCGGTTTTGTACAGGTCTAGCCTATAGTGATCACCCACTCTCAAACTCTCCGGAAGTAGGAATGGGTAATTCAACATTGTCCAAAATTAGGTTTTACGGAAGTCAAACTTGAGATATGTAATACTACGTATCTAAAAGTTGAACTTTCGTTCGTATTACACTAAATCTTGCGGGCCCAAATACAAAGATGGCCCGGTAAAATTAACTATTACAATTAATACACAAATACAAACATAGATAATATGATTGAACACAATAAATTACCCTGAAAATCTCTCCTTTGTGCTGACTCGCTTCCTCCTTGAATGGTTAGACTTCAGAGCCAGACATCTCCCTTTTTTGTTATACATGATCAGCATGTATGGAATCCAAAGCCATCTTTAGAATGGTTCTTCTGTTATAATACGGACGGACATGGTCTTCTCCTCTCTTTTCAGATTGTCCGATCCAAATTTCATGCAGAATGTAGTCTCTTTGAATGTTTTGAATGTGAAGGGTCTTAAGGAGTACTTGTCGGTGGCGCAGTGGAGTTGATGAGCGTAAAGCAGAATTCCAAAGTTCATATGAGAGTGAACCAGGAAACTTGGCACGGATTGACACTGTTGAAGATGAATTAGGTGATGGGGCTGAAACATCATATATTGGTTGTGTGGCTTCATATGTCGAAACTGAGATATTCTGAGTGCCACCAAGTTGTGACTACTTTGTTCTTGCTATTGTTGAGGAAACACATGATGATTTGTTTTCTAGCACATGTATTGTCTCAAACATGTCTAACATAGTGTTGGAGCTAATTCAGTGTGTCATGAAGCATGTGGAAACTTATTTATTCAAGCCCCAATCCGGAGATGATGAATTTGAGCTCAAACTCTTTGAGATGTTTATGACATGGACATTGAACTCTTTTGACGAATCCAAGAATAATTTAGAGAGCAGAGTAGACATGGTTGGGTGACAGAGACTTCTCCCTTTCACCTTGTTTGGCTATGCTTCTAACATGTGCTTATTTTGTCGATTCATTCAGTTTTTCGCATGCTGGTTTCCATCGGAAGGAAGACACTGCTAGCTCTCATATGATGTAATTATGAAATACAAGTGCTGGTGTAGAGGAAGCCGTTTACTATTAATGATGGAGAGATGTGTCCGATAATGATGAATATTATTGGTCCGCATGTGGACCATTCTACCCCTCATCAATGTATGTCAGTATGTCACTGCACGCCTGCATACCTACCAATCACAAGAAATTGTGTAGGGCTTCCAACGAATCCTCATGAAGCATGTAGAGTAGATGTCCATCTGGCCATTATGGCATGATCAAAAGGTTCAATAGAGGAAAAATGTAGCCTCAGCTCAGGGTTCACACGGACTATCCGCTACCATCGCTCTAGAAGTAGTTTTTTAGAAGTTGGGATAGACCATCTTCTAAAAACTGATTCTGCTTTAAAAAAGAAGCATAAACAGAATCAATTCTAAACCCCCATTCTACATATTTTTTTTGGGAAAAGTACGGAAAAGGTAATTCTGGTTGAGCCCGTCTTCAGATAGAGTCATGTGTTCTTGTTTTTATCAAAGTGGTTCATGTGTTTGAACTCCGTTATCACAAGAGGCTCCTGACGCCGTTTTTCAAAGATCGTCTGGAAAATTAAAAGAAAAATATTGGAAGGTGCGCCTCAACAAGACGACCGCTAGACCATCTTTTTTTTTTGGATCCAGCTACCCTTGTCACTGAAAAGTCCACCGAAAAAGTGATATTAGTGAATTCATTATTCAAAAACAATCCATACAAATCCGGAGAATTCAAAGACGGAGGTGGTTTGGAGGTCATCTTGGCGAGGCGCACCTTCCGGTATTTTTATTTTAATTTTTCAAGCACTTTTGAAAATCGGAGTTACTATTCATCGTTTTCCTCGGACGTTTTTAACAGCGTGACCCTCTTGTGATAACGGAGTTCAAACACATGAATCTCTTCAATAAAAAACAAAAAACATGACTCTATCTGAAAATAGGCCCAATCACAGATATTTTTTCCGTACTTTTCCCTATTTTTTACCCAGGGGTTGGGGGGGGGGGGGGGCCTGTGGAGCTTGGGGTAAATAGGGTTGAAACTCCCTCCATGGAATTTCAAACCGGAGACCTGTATATTAATATTGTAAAATATATTAAGAGCCCGTTTGGTAACACTGGAATTAGTTGGATCAGGTGATTCTGCTGAAATTTATGAAATTCTGGCTGAAGTGGCTAGAATGGCTGAAGTTGCTAGAAATACAGCCACAAAGTAAATTCAACCTTACTTTTTCTTATTATTACACAATTCAGCCCGCGATATCAAAAGTTACATGTTTGGTCAAAAAGTTAGACGATAAGTCTGATAAACCGAAAATCAGAATCATTAAACGGGCTCTAAATCATATTTTACTTGCACTTGCTTGAGTCTCGCACCAAACAAGATCACACAAAACTAGAGCTAAACATATTAAATTAGTCCAAACCTAAACTTTAGTAACATATACATATACATCAGATAGCGCATCAAACTAAATCAGACTATTTTTTATCAAAAACTCAGACCAGACTTATACAGTGCATACCAGAAAATATCAATGCAAGCAAAAACATTATACAATATGGAGAACAAGACCTCTTATTTTCAAAATTTAACTCAAATTATTTAATTTATGTAATATTTAACCTCTATTTTAGAGTACACTTTTATGCATAATACTTCCTTCGTATTCTTTTATTTGCTACATTTTTCCGGATATATTTTAATTTGTAGTAGACTTTCTCTTTTTGATATGTTTTCAATTTAAAAATACTCAATTATTTCTAATTTTTGTTGGAAAAACAGGAGTATTTCAAATGAATAATATCTTATTATTTATTTTGGTGGGAAAATCTTAATTTTGATTACCTCTCTTGGACCTTGAGAGCTCTAATATTGTTGTATTTTACTGTTTAAATGATTTAATCAAGTTTTACATTAAAACACTTTTGAAACCGTTGCAGATCTTTTATTTTCCAAATGATGCTAACCAACGTTTGAGTCTTTATTATTAGTGTCATTATTAATTACATTTATTACTATAATAATGTTATTTACCAATAAAAACGTAAGTCTCAAATGATGCCAAGTAACTTTTCACTCATCTGCTGGTAACGAATGTGTAGCTTTCTTTTGCTGGAGTTTCAAGTATATATATGGGTGTTCGGCGATCGAGGCTAGTAGCTGGCTAGAAAAAATTACTTTTGAGCAAAATATCGCCTATAATTTTTTACTCTGCTGGATCAATATTTTTCTACGTACTCTCGTTGTTCTGTTACCGGCTTACGCCGAAGAGCTCGTTTTATCTTGGGGAAAGGTTTTCGCTAGTCGGAAATACTTTCTTGAGGACAGCGTTTACGCGACTCGAGCTATATTATTTTCTAACAATTTTTTGCAGGTTTATCCGGCGAATTTCCTCCAACAATCTCAAGAAAGTATCTTGCGTCGGATATATCTGCACACGTGATGTCACAACGCTGTGATACACCCGCATGGGAAGCCATTTTCAATCGGATAAACGTTCACAAAAGTCTTCTATATATAATGGTTAGTCTCACCACTTTCCTACTTACAATAAGTCATATTTTAACTCCAATTTTTAAGAAAAATGTTATTCGTTTATTTAGTGATAAAATGACAACTATGAAAAACAACAACCCACTAAAATCAAGTTTAAACTTGGTTGGTAGTGATGATAATTTTATTGTGGTTGTTTCTCAAAGTTGTAAAATTAATGATGTGAATGAGTGGGTGGTAGACTCCGGGGCTACCAAGCATATTTGTAAAAACAAAAATGCTTTTACCTCCTATACTACTATGGGAGATGGTGAAGAGCTCGTGTACCTAGCGGACACTAAAACCGTTAAGGTGCATGGAATAGGGAAAGTTCTTCTTAAACTCACATCGGGGAAAACTTTATCACTAAATGATGTGCTTCATGTGCCCGAGATTCGGACTAATTTAGTTTCCGTTTATCTCTTGGGAAAAGTTGGGGTTAAAGTTTCTTTTGGTTGTGACAAATTTGTTATGACCAAAAATGATATTTTTGTGGGAAATGACTATTGTAAGAACAGAATTTTTTTGCTCAGTAATTTTGAAGTGTTGCATGATAATGATATACGTAATTACAGCTGGCTAATGATCGTGTAATGTGATATTATAGATTTGACTTTTACGTGGCATTTTAAGTTGATCTTTGTTTTTATTTGATTTATGAAATTCCTAAATATCATAAGATTGATATTTAGTGATATGGGAGCACCTCTAGAAAATTGTGATATATTTTTTGATGAATTTTTTATAAACTTTATTAGAGCAACTACACTGTGCTTACAGGTGGTAAAAGTTCTTTATCACATTTATTGGTGTTTTTTCGAGATAAACTAAATTTTATCGTACTTAAATTTAAAAGGCGAGTTTCTTTCTATTAAATCATTGTGTACATATAAAGGTTGAGATATAAATTATTTCTCTATGAATTCTAGAAGGGCTATGCACCTGGTTCTCAAATATTTAAAATTGTGGGGGTGCTTAGCTATATTTTTATTACCTATCTCATTGAGTAAACTGAGCTTTATAACTCTTTGCTAGTTTTGCATAAACTGAAACAGTGAAGCACATATGGTTTTTTTTTTCTTGTGAACATAGTGTGCTAATGTGTAATACTTTAAGCTATGTAATTGCTAATATTAATGTGATATGTTTGGAGAATGTGTACACACCAAATGATGCATAGTATGATTAATTGTTAATATGTTATTGAAACAAAAATGCTGAATTTTTGAAAAATGTGTTTCCTTTGAAATTTGAGCACAAGACCGTTGCACCATATAGTGAGTATAATTCATTACAAGAAATGAAACCTTTAACGATGAACCCTCTAGTGATAGTGATCTATTAAAAGAAAATTATTCTTGTAATGATGAACCTTCTCTTTTGAGAAGAAGCAAGAAGCCAATGATAGAGAAATCTTTGGAAATGATTCTTATACATATCTTTTGACTTATTTATAATAATAAAAAATCTTGGGGCCATATAAACTGAAATTGACTCTACTCACAAACTTTTTCCATCAAGTGGATGTTAAAATTGTGTTTTAAATGAAGAGCTAGAGGAAGAAATTATATGGTGCAACCGGAGGGTCATGTGGTTACTAGTCAGGAACACAAATTGTGTAAATTGATTAAATCCTTTTATGGGTTGAAACAAGCTCCAAAACAATGGAATGAAAAATTTGATGAAGTGTTATGAGAAGTAGAAAAGTGTGTTTACACTAAATGTGAAAAGCTGTGTGCATTATTATTTACTTGTATGTGGAATTGTGGATTATATGTGAACTTTATAGTTTGAAAAATTTGGCGGTAGCAAAAGTGATTTTGGCTATGAAAGTTATAAGGAAGGATTATGGTATTATAACTATAATATCTCAAAAGCAGTATGTCGATAAACTTTTAAAGAGGTTGGACATTTCAATGTCATCCCGTGAGTATCCCTTATGACTCTCATATGCACTTAAAAATATAAGAGATGATCTTAAGGCTCAATATGAGTATTCCCAAATTATTGGATGTTTATTACATTTCATAAATTGTATATGAGGCCCAAGATAACTTATGTTGTCGGAAGATTGAGCCGATATACTCA